TAAAAAAATACGACATTATGGTTGTTCATAATGTGTCAATGACACAGTTTGTTTACAGGTATATTTGGAAATTTCTCTGAATTGTTACATAGTTTTATTAGGGTCACTGTGCCATGTAGTATGTACATGTATACTTAAGAACTTAAAGATCATTATACTGAGGTTTGGCAATACAACTTCAAGTTGATACCTGGGAAAAAGGTAAATTCGTGCAACTTTAGGGTAAAATTGTATCCATTTGGATCTTTCATAAGGCCAAAAAAAATTAATTCTGCTTCCGATTACATGGTATTTAAAAATATGGTAGGCAGGTAGGGAAACTTTTGTAGGCCGATTTGTTGGTGTACGATCATATGGAGGTGTTTCCCCGGGTATCAACTTCAATTCATGGGCGTCGCGAGGGGGGGGGGTAAGGGGGGGCACTTGCCCCCCCCCCCCCCGGAAAAGCAAAAAAAAAAAAAAAAAGAAGAAAAAGGAAGAAAAAAAAAAAGAAAAGAAAAAGAGGCGCGAAGACAAAGTGGTGTAAATTTAATGAGTGGGGGGGGGGGGGGGCAAAATGTCCCTGCACCCTCTAAAACTGAAATCGAGAATGTGTTGAGAAGTACAAGCATTTTTTGGCAAACAAAATTTTTGCCCACCTCTAGAAAAAATCCTGGCGACGCCCATGCTTCAAGTTGATACCTGGGGGAAAAGGTAAATTCGTGCAACCTTAGGGTAAAATTGTATCCAATTCGGATCTTTCATAAGGCCCCACAAAAGTTATGCTTCCGATTACATGGTATTTAAAAATAGGGTAGGTAGGTAGGGAAATTTTTGTTTGCCGATTTTTTAGTGTACGATCATATGGAGGTGTCTGCGTGTAGTCAAGGGTAAAAGGTGGAAATTGATGGTTTGGGTGTTTTTTTTTCTCATTTTCTATACAAAAAATAGGGCAGGGGTTGTCAGCACAATAGGGTATAGGTAGGGAAACCGTAAAAAGATCTATTATGTTTTTTGGCCTAATAGTCATATTTATCAATTCTAGATGCTTTAGAAATATTGCTTTTGTAAGTATAGCATCCCGAAAATGTACTTGCATAAAAAAGTAACACTTACGATTTATGCAATTAGGCACCGTTCCCAAAAGACTTTCAGGTGTCCCTCCTTATTTTCTAGGGCTTGACGAATAATCTGCCAAGTTCGGTGCTTTGAACCACACGGTCACGATCTGATAAAAACAAAAAAGGATCTAGGCACGTGACTATTATTGTTATGTTCACATACAATTGAATTACACATACACACAGACATGTTTACGTTACATACCCAGAGTGGACATAAAACCCGTTTGAAAAAAACCTAGGGCCTACAATGTCCGAGGATTTGGGCATGTGGTGTGATGTGCTGCATACATCGTACTAGATGTGTACATGTTTATCCACATCCACGACGGTTCTCATCAAAGCCGGTTTGGCAAGAAATATATCGCATACTACATGTACACAGTATACTGGGCACGTGAGTGCAATAGCCGAGGCTTAACGTTTTCGTGTGCGTTGGTAGAGGGGAACTGGTATTTAACAAGTTGTCATTCAAACAAACATGCCCAACCGATCCTTGTACTTTTCATGTGAGGGCAATTCAACATTTCTTGACTTATGTTAAAACTAGAAAAACGGCAAAGTGTCTGAGCACGCTGCTGCCATAACTTTTGTTGTAAAATAAAACTAATTTCATTAACAGTGCTGAGGTATGTAGACAATTATATCTAGACAATCTTACTTACGCGCGATCAGGCGTCGACGATAATGGTTGGCTAATGTTCTCCGGTTAACAGTCAGCTGTTGCACCGCCACACATCAAGGCCTCGATGTTACGATGAATTTGATCCAGATAGGTTGTGATCATACACCTAACGTGTTGACTGTGTTGACAGAGTTGTTGCGTGCGGCTAAATCCCCCCGCACATTTTATGCAAATCGCTATACATCCCCATAAATAGATCGTATAGAAATGAACGGGCTCATGTTGTAGCAAACGGATATACATGTAGGTTGGTTACCGTATGGGGTATTTCCAAGCAGTGGTTTCGTGCCGTGTGCAAATTGCCATGCTAACCGACTTATATCTCACGATTGCGGACGTTATATGAATATCTCGCCTTTTTATAGCAGCAGTCGGGATTCTAGGCAGCCATCAGCATTAGTGGGTTGCCGCCAAAATGCCAGGCCAATCCGTAGGCAGGAATACGTATTGATTGATGTGTGTGTCATTTTATGTCGCGGCTTCAAAAGACAAACATGAAAGTTTAGTTTGAAATAATTTTCCCTCCTCCTCCCCTACAATCCTTCCTTTGTAATGTTGTGCAACTGGTTCGGTTGAGAAAGAGGTTGCGTTTTTTTGTGCCAAATAAGAAGTCGATCACCCAATCTTGTTTGGATATGGAATTAGCTAACTTCAATAGGATGGGACATTTCGCTTGTACATATACCTTTAAAGTTTCATGTGCTAGATGTAATTTTGTAATGTAACAATATAGCGCCGTGACGGCCCATTCCCTACCATTACCTGGGAGTTTATCCTTATTGTAAACATAACTGTGTAACAAATAGCCCGTGACATCCCACACGGATTATACCGGCCGCATATTCCAGCGGTTGGAACAATTGATTGTAATTTCAGAGATGAAACTTTTCCGATTTTAATCGGAATCCGACTTTTTGAATTTTCCAACGAAATTTCCGATTTTCTTACAGTGTGTCCCACAAAATTTGATTTTGTAACGATTTTTTTCACAAAATGTCATTTTATTTAAATCATAATTTCAAAGAAAAGTCGATGAAAAGTCGATGGAAATGCATGTTAAAATCATCGCGAACGTAGTTTTAATCTCTTTCACCAGTCGTTATTGGAGTGTTTCAACGGTAGAAACACAGGGCATAACACTGATCGGAGCCTTCTCTGGCTGGACAAAAGGTTAACCCTGCGCAGCGTTTACTAAAAAAATGTTTATCAGAACTCGCCACGGGGGCCCTTTGGGCTACAGGTACTTCCCCGCACTACGTACGCAAGACCCTTTTCATGTCAAAACAACAAAAGCCACGTGCCAGACAGTGTCCAGGCAGTTGCCAGATAGTGAACTTGAAAGATAATTGACTGGCGGCTGTGGTTTGCGGCTATGAAGGGAGATGGCTGTGTCAAGTTACAGGAGTTTATAAATGTTTCAATGAGACTTGGCAGGAGGCCTGGTCGAAAGTTTGTTGACACGGCCTGGGTGAAGCCCTGGCTGCAAAGTTCATTGAACCAGCTTATTTGGCAATGGTTGAATGAGGATTAGATGGAAGGTGACCGTCATTGGCCCTCAATTTTTTTTTATTCAAAAAATTCGGTCACCTGATCGCAAACTGGAACTTGGTCACTCTGCGGAGATAATAAGAATGGGAATGCGCTTATCTTGTATCGGTTAATTGGCTCGACACATGATCGAGGGATGGACAGAGTGTTGGTATTGTGGAGATTGTTCGACCTTTTTTTATTATAAACCTCAATTCTTATTGTTACATGCATTTTTTAAACTCTCATTCCCAGCAAACATACCGCAATCGGCCCAATACTGGCTTGGTACAGGCTGGCAACGGCACACCGTAAAACGATGGCCGTTTCACGGCCAGGATCACGCCGATACTGGCTTTGTACCGTCAGCCGTTATGCTGCCAGTTCAATGTCATCGGTAACAGGCCGTACTGGTGTCACATGAAAATCCGACTCCTTTGAAAATCGGACCCCTATTTCCCTATTATTGGTTGATCCCTCGCACGTGACAGGTCACCCTCCCGAAACGATTAAATAGCATAGTATCGTACTCACGCGTGCGCAGTACTACCAATGAGTCCACATTTCATGGAGTCGGATATTCACGCTACACCGGACCGATTCCGGCAGAGTTATCAGGGGGCGGTCCTATAGGTCTATAATTGACATAAATGGCCCGCCCCTTATGCAAGTGCGCAACACAACAATGCAGCTATTGCTCTTGATCACCCACTTTTTACTACAACTAGATCAGCCTTGTCATATTAGACAGACTGTCAGCAAAGTTAGCAGATGCAAATTTCGAGAAAACTGTTCGTTGAAGGTGCACAGACACAACTCAGTGTAGATTCTGAGCAGGGACGAAGCGAGGCCGAGTCCATTCCGGCACGAATCCACAGTTCCAAGTCCATGCTCTGCAACGGATATCAATCCTTTCAATTCCCAAACTGTGCTGGACTATTGGATTGGACTTGCGATTTACATCATCGCGAAGACGCATAGGCCTACACTCTAAACAGTCCTGGGTCAGACTTGACCAGGAAAAGGGCCATGTGGTGTCTGACCCTTTTTGGGGTCAAAAAAGAACACACAGGTCTGGGTCAAAATAACCATTTGATGCTACATGTCCGGGTCATTTTGACCCGAAAAGTGTCATTTTTGACCCGAAAAAGTGTCATTTTGGACCTGGAAAAGGGTCAGGCCCCACACGACCCTTTCCAGATCAAGTCTGACCCGGGACTTTTTAGAGTGTATATTAACGAATCACAAACAATTTCAAGGTTGTTTTTTTGTTCATGCAACGTTTGTCCAACAATGTTTGTAGCTGAAGATAAGTACTGAACAAAAGTCTCAAAATTGCACGGAGAACACTTTCACATACATATTGTTAACATACTATAACTTGTAGCGATTCAAGACGAAAGTGCGGATCACACGTTGCGCCCAACCCTAATAGGCTACCGGTACGTGTATTGTTACATACGAAGTGGACGGCAAAACCCATGACAAAGATTATATCCTCTAGCGTGTTTTACAACAACTTTTTTATGTAACTTACACTTGCAGCCACAAGAGTACAATCCTAAAAGCAGGTAATTTTAGTTGGGAATTTGGTCTTTTCCAAAAGCTCGTGTTCCATTAATGACACAAACGCTATACTATATTTTCTTTCTTCATTTAGTTAAGGTCGGTATTTACAGAGCTCCGCCATGGCAATGCTTCAGAGCTGCATTGACATTTGCAGCTCCTTCTTCAGAAGACGAGGGACTCTTAAGGAATCGAACTCAAGCCAGCTTAAGCGATGCCTTACTGCTGCCGACCTAACCTTCGTTGGCATAGGAGCAATGCTAGGCTCTGGGGTCTACATCCTTCCCGGAGAAATAGCCGGTGAGATGGCGGGACCGGCGGCTGTTCTGTCCTTTCTCATTGCCGGACTGGTAGCTTTGCTGAACGGCTTTTGCTTCCTAGAGTGTGCAGGACAGATACCGCAGACGGGAGCAGCCTACGTCTACGCATACGCGTCACTCGGAGAACTGGTCGCCTTCTTGGTCGGCTGGAATGCCATAGCAGCACGAGTCATGTCCCTCGTGTATGTAGCGCAAGGATGGAGCGCCTATTTCGACGACGTTATCGGAGGCCACATACGAAATTTCACCATTGAATTTGTTCTCCAGGGCGAGGAATGGGACGCACCTCTTCTTACCAACTTTCCGATTTCACAGCCGGTGTTGTGATACTTCTCGGAAGTATCCCTGTCGTGTGGGGTGTGGACTTCTTTGTCACTGGCAACACTATCTTGGTGGTTCTGAACATGGTCGTTGTTGCTTTGGTTTTCGTGGTTTCCATGGTCTATGCAGACTTGTCACTGCTTACAAAGCACGGGTTTTTCCCTTTTGGCTTCTCTGGTGTCATGAAAGGTGCAGTGGCAGCATCTGTAGGGTTCTGTGGATTTGAGGCGATCGCGCTCAGCTCTGAAGAAGCCCATAACCCCAGCAGAGGCCTTCCCATCGGCCTCATCAATGCCTTCGGGGTGTCATTCTCAGCTTTCATTGCTGCCACTCTGTCACTCACCGTCTTAAGCGACTACAAAGATATCCAACCACAAAGTTCGTTTGCGTCAGCTTTCGGAATGATCGGTGTTGACTGGTTGAGGTATATCGTATCCCTCGGTGCCATCAGCAGTATGACGGGAGGAATTTTGACTCACTCTTACTGTCTGTCTCGATTCGTCTACCCGATGTCACGTGATGGGCTGCTCCCTGCCCTGCTTGCCAAAACCAACGAGCGAACCAAGACCCCTATCTGGGCCACCATGTTTGGAACATCCCTGGCCGTCATTTTCAGTGTAGTGATGGACTTTGCGAGTGTGATTAATGTCATATCTCTCTTGTATTTGACGGAGTTTGCAGTAGTTTGTTCTGCTGTAGTCATTCTGCGCTACAGTCCCCGTGCACGGAGTGGCTATGTATCCATGGACGGCAGAGATGAGGATACTGAAAACGGAACCAGCCGTGATGAATGACGAAATGAACCCACACGACCAGATGGTCACCGAATCGAATGCACTGATCGACCCTCAAAGCAACGGAAGCGGCACCGTCACACACGGGATACTTGACTGCCTGGCAAATGCTCAATTCATCCCAAAGCCAATTTCTTTCATACTTCGGACGATTAGACGCCACCCAAGGAGAACCGTGATTTCTTCACTTGGTTTACATGTGATGTTCGGATCGTCTTGGTGGCGCTGTTGACCTACAAGATGGATGCATTTAAGCAGCTTGAGGGCGCTGTTGTATTCGGGATCATTGTGAGCGGCGGTGTTTCTGTCGTGGCATGCTGTCCTCTGTTGTTTGTACCTCAGTATGATGCGGACATATCGTTTAAAGTAAGTACGTTTCTTCATCACACAAATATGAGACTCCCATTTAATGTTTTTTTAACCCGTGCACAATGGAACATTTTGACCAATATAGGCCTGTACCAATTTTCAAATGTTGCCCTACACATATGATTTTCCCTTTTGTTCACGACTCACGACACCAGAAAACACAGCCATACGGACCAAATCAAGGACATAAAATGACTAACGATTACTGCTTTCAACGTCTGTTATACTGTTATAATACCAATCCAATTTTGGCAATTATCCCCCAGATTCCTTTGATGCCATGGTTACCGCTAGTTGCCTTACTGTGTGACATCATTCTTATCTTTCAACTGGACGGCCTCGCCTTTGTCACAATTCTGATTTGGATGTGTTTCGGTAAGAAGGAATCGAAACATGTACTTCGCACTCTTGCTTAAAGGCGAACATTTATAATAATTGTTTACTGGAAAAACAAGGCATACTGCATGCAAACCAATGATCTCCATATACCAACGTGGAAGCCAGTGCATTGGATGCAACACTGGAGAAGAAATATCCCTCTGACTTTGCCGCTGGCTACCGCCGCAGTTCTGTCTGCAGGTCATCGCCCCCTTTAAAAAAAATTGCAAATTAGTAGTAAAGTCAAGTCGGTGAAGAGCAAATATGGCACATCAGGCCGGCGTTTATTCCTGAGAATATTTCTATTACCCCTGGATGGGTTGCCGTCTCGTAAAACACATGTACACATTTAACGAGAAGGTCCGATGGTCATGAAACTTGGTGGGTAGTATATGTGGACACTTATGTTAGTATGTGGACCATCATTATGACGACATAGGTGAAATGACAGATGCTGCTGTGAGACTTCCTGTAGACTATGTTCTTCCCAGGTAATCGTGAAATTTCTTACTCCGCTTTTACCGAAAACTGCTGATGGGTGTTTGACGTCACAGCTTTGATATTGAACCACATGTTTCACGGAGCATACAACTATTTCAAATGAGTGTTCGGATACCAAACAAAATTTTCTCTCTTTTTTTTTCTCTTAGGACGCTAATATATTTGCTTTACGGAATAAAAACACAGCTTGGCTGCAACGAAGTGTGAAGACAGCAATCTCAACGGCAATTGAGCAGTGGCTTTACCGGACCAGCGGTAGAACGTTTGACTTCTTGGGGGATCTGAAAGCATCATCACAACATCACATGACACAACTGATTTCATTCCCTACTCGTGGTAATGCTACCCTGGACAAGATTTTCACCAATTTTCCTGTCCTGTTCAAGGAACCTGAGAGACTCCCACCTCTGGGAGCTAGTGATCATTGCTGTGTCCTCCTCTCGGCGGTCTGTGAACTCCCTCAACAAAAGAAGGGCGCAACAAGCTTTCGACCCTACGGAGATTCTTCTGTGCGTTCGTTTGGGCAGTGGATAGTCGACTACGACTGGAGCAGTGCACTCACTGACTCATGTACTGATTCAGTGGGAAACTTCTTGCCTACAGTTACAGATGCCTACAATTTCCATTTTCCACTGGTTTGTCATTGTTCTGGTTTGTTATTTGGCTTGTCGCTGTAGTCAGTTTTTTCTATTTGTGCTTTTGTTGGGTTATTGTAATGCTTGTTTGTTTGTTGCCTGCTTGTTTGTATTTTATCAATTTCTCTTTTTCTTTTTAAACTACTTGTATCTATAGGGATCGTAAATGTAAACTTCGGTGTGTGTGAATAATTGAATGCCTTGTATATCATGTCTGTTTGTTTGGTTCTCTCTTTTAATCTAATTGTAACTGAAAGGACTTTTATGTAATGTAAAATGTGATGTGTGCAATGTTTATACATGTAATGCATGTCTGTTTGTTGTTGTTTAGTTGTTTGTTGGGTGTGTTTGCTCGTTTGATGTTGGGTTTTGTGGGGGGGGGGTTAAGGGTTGTGTTTGTGTTGGTGATCTAAATGGTTGTGTGAAACTTTTTACCTGTTTGTTTTTTTCAAAATCATCTGTTGTATGGAATGTAAATTTTCACCTTTGGTGTGTGAATTTTATGCTGTGTATCATGTCTGTTTGTTAGTTTCTCCCTTTTAAATGTTACTGTAACTGTGACGATATGAACTTATAGCCTGATTTTGTAAATATTGTAATTGTCAGCATTTATGCTGTTGTGTACAATATATTTTGTTTTTAATAATAACCAGAATAAAATCACAACAATAAGCCTTTGTACTGATGACGTCACACTTTGTTTACGTGTGTGCTTTCCTATGGTGCTCAGTGGACCGTGGTCCCCCACTGGCTCCATAGGAAAGTGCACATGTATCAAAGTGCAACGTCTTCAGTAGGCCTACATAGGCTTATTCACATACGGATTTGTGTGAATTGTTTTCGTTTTGCTGAAAGAACCCACGCCATTTTTGTGATCCGTGGACATAAGTTTAAAATGGTGGTTTTTAAAATGCCGTATAACTTGAAAAGCACATGAGTAATTTGAATGATTATTGTACTAAAAGATCGTTATAAATTGGGATCTCATCAGTCTAGATTTTGAAAGTGCTACATGCAGAACTTCACGAAAATAAATGTCCCGACATTTGGGTTTCTTTTTTTTTACTCACCCTGTACATGTTGTTTGTACAGTTTGTTCCTCCTATGTAAAACTGGAGTGTGTCTGCTTAAAGTTTGTCTGCTGTTGATGGAGTCATTGATTTTTGTCAGAGTGTACTCTAAAGTCCACTTAATTAATTCACACTGTATTGGTTCTAAGTCTTTGCTGTTCGTTTCTATTTTTTTTGCTCAAGGTTTAAACTTGGTTTAAGTCTTTAGTTTTGATTTTAGGGTTGGTTGGTTATGGTCTTTGCTGTTCTTGTGAATAAATTCTTTGGGTTTTTGTTTTGGGTTGTTTGTTTAAAAATCTGAACGTTTGTTTCTGGTCTCTGTTAATTCAATTTCCTCGCGACCGTTCCTGTCAAAGATCAAAGAGTTTAGTTTAGTTGTATTAGCTTTAGTCTAATTCAGTCTCTGACCTCCTGGTAAAAACATATGCATGTTGTACTTCGACCTCGAACATGTTCGTTGAGGGCCACCGTACCAGCAAGTCAAGTCAGTGATCCGGTTCGTGAGTAAAAACGTCATACACGCGCGCGCACCATTGATTACTAGCGCCATTGGATACACACTCAGGTTGCGTTAGCTTCCGGTTCCATTGGTTCCAGTAGTACTGAATGACCAGTGGGCGTGGTTTAAACTAAAGTGACGTCACATTAACGAACCGGATACTGGTTTTGGCCGGCGAAGTCATAACAAACGGATCATCGTTTCACTGATCATTGTTTTGACCAAACCACCAGGCTTCTGACTAGCACGTTGAAAGGTAAGACATTCAAAAATCATATTATTTGTTCGTCGGTCCAGCTGGCCATCATAATCTGTTTACATCTCCAACCGGTCACACGTTATGAGAGATAACCGCATGCTTTCTTTGTGTCGCGTTCGTTGTGACAAGTTCGTTGCGAGTGGCGTCCGTATTTCTCTTGCTCATATTCATTTTGGGCAAGGCCCAACAGAGGTGTTCTAGGAAAATAAAAAATCATGCAAATGTAGGCATTGATGACCTTTAAAAATCAACATCAACTTGAACATTCAACTTTGTCAATTTGACAAGTGGCTTAAAAGAATGATATTTCTTCCATGCGCCATTATTGATTTGAGGAAACACAAAAAACATTAAATGAATGAATGGAGGTTCAATACAATTAAGATTTCTCAAGTGTCATAATGCGGTTTTTTTAGGCATTTGCCGTGTATTTGTGCATGATTTTCTAAAAAAAATCCCGGGGGGGGGGATAATCCCTCCTCAAATAGATCGGCCGGATGGAATTGCCCCACACTGTAAAGAAAAATGCCTGCCGACCGTTTTTTTTTGGTTCTTTTTGTTGGGGGGGGTGTTAAAAAGTATAAAAAATATTGCCATTTTTGGTCGGACCATTTTCTTAGGACTATGAGCAAAATTAATTAATTGTAGGCCTACTAAAGCGTTTTTAAACATGCTCTTTATTGCTTGTTTCTCCTTAAATATTCTGTTTTCAAATAGTTACTGGTCTTATTTCAAGGCTGGGTTGGGCTACCTTGAAAATATAAAAGCACGTACTTTTGCGCAATAATTACTGCATTTATTAATGTTAATCGCGAAAAATTAATATTAACCAAGATCACACAGTACAAAAAATACCATAGTTCGTATGAATAAAAACTGGCATTTGCATTACAACCAGTTTCTTAGGATTTACTAGCATTTGTAAGTATGAATAAACTCGCATCTGTATGAATACAAATGAGAGTCGTGGTTCTGTAGCGCGACGGATCCTCGCGGAATGGACTTGAAAAACCTTTTTTTTTCTCTTACACTACTCCGTTTATTTCTCACAACATTTTTACACAAAAACATACTTCTCACAATATCACTATTACATCAAGACTACAAAAGGGATCATTTTTTTTTACAAAGAAATGGCATTCGATGGACAACTTCCATCATGTGCACAACTTCTGACAGTATGGATCAATTTCAGTTTTTCTTTTTATTTCGGATGAGTGGAAGAACATGCTCTTTTAAGTTAATCTTCATCGGTGTTTCAGGTTCGATTGTTTTGTTTTTTAAGAAGC